ACAGCAGTAATTTAGTAAGTGATTTCTGTGACTGAGGCACTGTGTTAGGCTCTGGGGATGCAATGACAAATGAAAAACTGTCCCTGCCCTCAAGGAGATTACTTTTACTTAGAAAGAGTTAACATAAAGTAAAGGAGTAAACATAAGTTTGAGTTGCTCAGAGAGCTAAAACTACAGGAGTCTGAAGGCAGTGATACATGAATTGAGCCTTGAAGGATGCTAGGTATTTCAGGAAGTTAAGATGGTAGATCACCAATTCTAGTTTGCCTGGTGAACTGTGGTGACACTCAAGGCCTGCGCCATGATCAAAGGAAAATACTACAATGACCTTAAAAGAAAGTTAGCAATCTCAGCACAAAACAAACATTTAATAAGTGTTTGTTGAATTCAGTTAAATTCTAGCCCTCTTTTGTCTTTTCTTTCTGTTCACCTTTTTTGAGGAATTATGTTAATGAGGAAAGTATGCATGGTTACGTGGATGTACTTGATGCCATTCATTGTACCTAGCAATGTTTGGCTTTACAGAAAGGGATGTTAGCCCAGTTGAGTGTGCAGGGCATGGATCTAATCAAGCTCTTCTCCTGCTTAAGAACTTTGGTGGCTCCTATTACCTCCAAGATGAAATACAAACTCTTCAGCCTGGTATTTAATGTCTAATCTCCTGCCTAAATGCCATCACATAAACCCTACTCTCTGTTTAGAATACACTCATTCATTCACTAATTCAATAAACATTTATAAAGCAGTTAATTTGAGCAAGGCACTGTGCCAAATGCTGGGGTTACAAAAACAAAAAACAAAGCAGATCCCTGGCCTCAAGGAGTTTCCATTCTACTGTAGGAAAGCAACATGTAAATACAAGATAATTTCATATAATCAACTGGAGTGATCACTCAAGACTTCCTGTGGCTTATGGCACTTGATGTGAAGTGCCTAAAAGAGGCTTGAAGAGAGCTAAAGAGTCCGAGAAACACAAATGAGAAAGGAGTGCATTTCAGGTATAGGGAATGGCTCCATGTGAAGGCATGAAGGTCAAGATAGACTATTATCCATGGGACAAGTAGGCCAGGTTGGTTGACTATAGAGTGCAAGAGGGAGAGGAAGATGAAAGCAGTCTGGAAAAATTGGTTGGAGCCAGACTGTGACGGACTTGCTTGAAATGCCAGGCAGAAGAGGTGATGTTTTATCTGGCCTAGAGGCAGACAGAAACATGAATTAGAAGGCTGTTTCAGTCCTCTAGTTGAGAGGTGATGAGGGCTTAAATTAGGGTGGTGGCCATGCAAATGGAGAGAAGAGAACAGATGAGAGAAATACTAGGGAGATAGAATCAACAAGACATGGCAGCTGATTGGACAAGTGGAAGTGGGGTGAGGGGGAAGTGAGGGAGAGAGAAGAGTTGAGGGTGACTCCATCATTATGAGCCTAAGTGACTGGGAGGATAGTGGGGCTTTCATTTCCCTTTTATCTCTCCCTTTCAGATTCCTTTGTCTTCTAGCCCCTAATACACTAGAGTTCAGTATATAGCAGGTTCTTAATCAATGCTTATTGATTGATTGGTTGAAGAAGCCCTTCCCTAACTCCCCTTATCCCACATGCCTTCCCTCTGTTGATTATCGCCAAATTATCCAGAATGTGTCTTGTTTGTACGTAGTTTTTTTTGCAGGTTGTCTGCCCCATTAGATCGTGAGCTCCTTGAGAGCAGGGACTGTTTTGATCCTTTTCTTTATATCCCCAGTGCTTAGCACTGTGCCTGGTACATAGTAGGTGCTTAATAAATGTTTGTTGACTCACTAACAGAATATTAGTTGATTTCTCCAAGTCTCAGGTTAAGCATTACCTCCCCTGGAAAGCCTTCCTTGGTCCCTCCCAGTTGTTAGCACTCTCTCCATTCAAATCACCTTGTACTGATATATTCGTGTACATGTTATATTCCTCCCAGTAGAATATAGGGTTCTTAATGTAGTTTTGTTTTTGTCTTTTTATCCCCAGAACCTAGCCCAACATAATAAGCCCTTAATAAATGTTTGCTGGATTTTAAAAATTGAATTGGTGGTATCAGTGGATATTTTTCAAGACAAGCTCATTTTCCCCAATCTTAATGGACTTTGAAAACTATTTATAGAACTGGTATAAAATGACCTTCCAAAATATGTGTCCACCTTTTTTTCCACTTCTTTATTTTATGGGTTAAAGGAAGCAAATCAGGCTTTAGGCTTAGGTGATTCTATGATATAGTCGTATCTGAAGAAAAGAAGATTATTTAAATAAATAACTTCTTGGGGTCCCCTGCAGCCCTCTTGATCTAAACCAAAGCTGGTTCACCCACTTGCTGCTTGAAGAGTCTAATTTCACCCCTGGGCCAGGAGGAAGGCATTCTGTGTTTGGAAGCATATAGTATAGACATACATATTTCAAATGTGTCTTTTGGGCTAAAGACTAACTTCTTCATTTTTTTAGGTACTTTTCACAGGCTCTGGACTCTCTTTTGAGTCTGAGGGAGCTATATATGTGAAAGGAAAGTGTAGGCAACCTTTAGTCCAGCCAGGAAAGGAAGAAAACAGAGGGAGAAGGGAGAAGGAGAAGGAGAGGGAGAGGGAGACGGAGAGGGAGAGGGAGAGGGAGAGGGAGAAGGAGAAGGAGAGAGAGAAGGTTACTCACTGAAGTGCCATGTGACCATTTCCCACCCTGTCTCCCAATAGACGGGCACATGTCAGGGATGGGGTTGAAGAGGTTGCATCTCTTCACAGGGTTCTGCCTTTCTCAGCATCTTGGCTGAAACCCAATTGATTTGAATAGAGTGACCCTGGCTTTGCAGCTACATCTGCAACTCAGAATTCTGAGTTGGCCACTCAGCTCTGCTGCTGATTGATAGGGAAAACAGGCTGCCTGAAAAACAAAGTTTTTTCCCTTCATCCTTTCCAATTTGTCTGAAGTAGGATAGTCTAACAGCCCAAAGGAAATATTGTGGAATATGCTCCCAGTTGGAAGTTAGTGAGGTAGAAATTCCTTCCCCTACGAATGGGAAATAAAGATCCAGGCAGTGGCAATGTGGCATCCAGCACTCATTATCCAAAGAAGGCATTTTGTGAGCTCGTGGGAGCCATATTTCTTAGTGGATCTCTATTGGAACTGGCTGCCTCATCCTTCCCACCCCTGTGGTTAAATGACCCATTCTACCACTCTATGGAATTAATTTAAAGCGTTGAAGATTTTTCTATCAGTCCTATTCAGGTACAAGAAGAAGTGGGTGGGTCTGTTTAAGGAGGAAATTCCATGACTTCCCTTAAACAGTGACCTGTGTGAGAAAAACAAGCCAAAAAGGCTCTGGGGACTTGAAACATGTGGTTTGTGTGTTGCAGAAAGGCCAATCAGGAAAGTAAATGGTCTGTATTTGAAAAATTACTAAATGGTCCATTTTGCGTCCCATCTCCCCTCTGAACCCCACCACCACCACCACCACCACCTTTAAGATGTTACCTTTCTTTAAAACTTGGTGTTGCTCTTTACCCTATGTGAAACAAATAAGGAACTACAGCAATTTATTATCATAACCTCCTTCCAGGTCAACTACTTCCTGTGGCATAATCACCGCAGCCCTTCCTTCTTTCTCAACTACTTCTGCTCCTGTGCTTTCCTCCTGACACCTTAACCCCTTTCCCTCCATAGCTCTTTAAGCTTTGCAAAGCACTTTACATATGCTATCTCTAGCTTATTTGATCCCTACACAACTTGTGTAAGGTAAGCGCTATTATTATCTCCATTTTCAGTTGAGAAAACTGAGGCTGGAAGAGGTGAAGTGACTTACCCAGGTCACATAGCTAGTATGTGTCTGAGGCAAGAGTCAGACTCAGGTCTGTCTTCACTCTAAGTCAGGAACTCTACCTCCTAGCTGCCCTAATCACCAGTTAAAATATTGCTAGATGGTAAGCTCCCTGAGGGCAGGGAATGAGTCTTATCTAACATTTGATCTCCCCTTATAAATAGTGGCTGATGCAGGATTGAGATTCAGTTCTTTTAGACTCTAAGTCCAAAACTCTAGCCAGTATGTTGCCAACAAAGACAAACCTATATATTTTCATGCTTCTAAGGGGCTTGTGTGGTACAGCAACTCTAACACAAGGTGGAAGCAAAAAGTTACTCTTTATTACAATCTTGTGTCTACTCCTCCAGGACACTACCGGCGGGAGAGAGGCAAGGCACAAAGGACAAAGCAAGGTTATATATCTTAACCAAACAAGAAACTCCCAACCCGCCACTATCCCTTACTCCCATTGGCTAGGAGGCGGGCTTACATTCTAGGCGAGAAAATCTTTCCCATTCCCAAAGAACAAGGAAACAAGGTATAGCCAATCCAAACATACACATCCTTATTTAGTATAACTAATGCTGACCTGGCAGTGGCAATCAGGAGGGAGTTTAGGGCCGAATTCCTATAGGTTTAGGTAATTTAAACTTATGGCCCGTTCATTCTCTCAGAGCCTGTCTTAGTTTCGAGACACTCTTTTCATCACCACCCTGAGAAGTCTTCACAGGTTATATCTCATTCAGGCTGGATTAGATGACCTCAAATGATGACCTCCTATTTCTTCTCTGAGGTGATACTTGTTCTTTGCAATTTTGCAATATTTATTTTCTGTTGGTTTTTGGTGGCTCTTTTTACCTTGTTGTAGTTATTGTATATTATTGTTTTCTTAGCTTTGTTTATTCCCTTTGTATCAGTATTAGGGAGTACCACTCCCTAAATGTTGGGAATTTTCCCAACTGGGAGCTCAGAGCAATTGTAATGCAATTGAGAACTTTTCTTCTAAAATAAACTCCTTAAAACTGAAGAGGTAGGAACCAAATGAACTTTAGAGGTCATTCTATTGCTCCCAGGTTTAAAATAAAATAAACTAAGTATTGTAAGAAGGTGTCACAAAGAGTCTAGAGATTTCAAGGAAGTTGTCTAATCCAACCCCTTAGAAATAAGACAATATATGTGTGCCTTTACTCTATGGCAGGTTCCCCAGCCCTGCTCTGTGGCTATGCTAGTCCTCCTAGAGGCTAAACCAGGAGTCTGAAAGAACTGAGTTTGAATCCTGATTTATACTCTACTTAAAAGGTGAGATCAAACATAGGTAAGACTCATTACTTGCCCTTGGGTAGTTTAGTGTCTAGTAATGTGGTAAGTGGTGTTGAGTTTACCAGGCTAGTCTACCAAAGTCTGTTTACCAGTAACAAAATGAAATTATTGTCCTGCTAGTAGTAATTGTCTGCTATGTACTTGGGCCCCATGATAAAGGAGAGTTTTCCTTCCCCATAGATGCTGCTTCAGACAAAATTTTGAAATGAGTTCTGTTTGTTTTGTATATTCTTCTGTGTACTTTACATGGGCTGAAAGTCAGAACATATGGATTCACTTTCTGGAATTACTCTTTACCATAACCTTGGTCAGTCACTTTCCCTGAGTTTCCACAATTATAAAAAATGAAGGAACTGGATCAGATGGTTTCCAAGGCCACTTCCAACTCTAAGATAATGTATTTCTGTCTCTCTTCCTGTCTTCCTTTCTTCTATCCAGATATTCAGGACCTACATATTGCCTCTGAGCCTCCCACTGAGATACCCCAGCCAAGCTAGCCACACATACAAAGGTCTCCAAAATCACACTCCTCCCCATAAGTATCCAACTTCAAAATCTCCTGTGCATATATTCTCAGGTGTTAAAAGGAAAGCAGACTGAACTAATCTACACCAAATTGTTAATACATGATGGTTCCTAAACCCTCCTAGAGGTATTTTCAGTTTAAAAAGAAGTGGCTTGTTAATACCAAAATAATAATAATTATTATTATAATTGTTGGGACTTCATGCCTTGAAATAAATGAAAATGAAAGAAGACTATCAGGTTGGGAGGTGATGTTTTTTAGGGGGGCAGTCACCATGGTGGCATTCTCCCAGAGTTAGCTTCCCCCAGACTGCTCCTGTTTCCCACATCTTCTTCCCTTCCTTTCCACAACTTTCTCTTTCTCCACTTCTTACCCTCCAGTTCTCTCACAAGGCCAGCTGGAGTTCCAGCAGTGGACCCTGGGCCCACCCTTCTTATTTGAGTTGTTTGTACAAGGCTGTTTGAAGGCAGTACATAGATTCCCAGTGGTCTGCATGCTTCCATGGAATTCTCTTAGCCGGCAAGTTAGACAGATGTTGTGAGCCGCTGTGGCCTGTGGGGATCGTTGGTGATTCTTGTGACTCTCCACATCCGGCGACTGCTCCAGCTGGTTACAGGGAGGGGAGACTTTTCTGGGCACATCTCACTATGATCCTTCCTTCCACAAAGGCCACATGTTGGAAAGAAGGGCTGGCCTTCAAGTTAACTTTATAAGCAGATTTATTTTACAAACCTATATATCTATAGGGATTTTAAAAATCAAAGAAGTCTGTATTTTAAAGTATAACCTCTTGCCTCAAGAAGAAGGGCTGTGGCTGAGGATCTCATAAAAAGGACCCTAATACCTCTCACCAGAAAGATGTTCCCCCATATTAAAGTATAAGTCAAGTTGGTCATTGTTACCACTGTCTACATCAGGGGTGGGGAACCTGTGATGTTAAGGCTACATGTGGCCTTCTAAATTTTTGTGTGGCTTTTTGACTGAATCCAAATTTTACAGAACAAATCAAATTTGGATTCAGTCAAAAGACTGCATTTAAGGATTTAGAAGGCTACATGTGGCCATTTGTTCTATAAATTTTTGATTGCGTCAAAAGGCCACACTTAAGGATTTAAAAAAGGCCACATGTGGCCTTAAGGCCGAAGGTTCCCCACCCCTGGTCCACACGCTAATATTCAGTGTGACTAAAGTCCAAAGGCAACATTAAAAAAAATTTTTCCTGTATTTGCCAGATGGTTATGATAAGAAGAATGTAATAAAAGTCCTTCTCTGAGCATAGGTCACCTGAAGCACTCATAACGAGTCACTTAATAATTAACCAGAAGTGCTGTGTTGAATTAGTATCCTCTTGCTCTCTCCTAACGACTCAAAGAGCAGACAGTGTGGCAGAATGGACAGAATCATAGAAGTGGAGTTGAGAGATGACCTGGGGTCAAATTATAGCTTGGCCACTGATTCTCTGAGTCACCTTGGGGAAATTATTTAACTTTGATGGGCCTTGGTTTCCTCACATATAAATAAGGAAAGCTAGATAGATGATCTCTAAGGTCACAAATTGCAAAGTTAGAGAAGACTTCAGAGGCCGGCTGGTACCCAACTAAGAATCCCCTTTATAATGTGCTCAATGAGTAGTTATCCAGGGGTAATTGAAGACTTTCAGAAATGGAGAATTCATAAGCTACCTAGCCAGTCCAGTCCACTTTTTGGCCAAACTTAATTGTTAGGTAATCTTTCCTGACATCAAGCCTAAATCTGCATCTCTGCGATTGTTCCTAATTCTACTCTCTGAAGACAGGAAAAATAAGTCTAATTACTCTTCCACGTAACAGTCTTTCCCATACTTGAAGATTACTCTCATGGCCCCTTCTGGATAGCAGACACTGCTTATGATGAAGTTTTCTGTGCTATTCTCCAATATTCACATTTTTGATTTAGTAGACCATCAGTCTTTCTAGTTGGTCATCTGGTCTCTATTGGTAAAATGGATTGGACTTCTCCATAATCACTAAAACAGAAAAAAAAAAAAAAAGGAACAGCAAGGAGGGTAAAAGGAAGGCCGATGAATAGGCCAAAAGAAAATGAAGGGAAGTGCTGTAAATTTTTGTCTCCTGGCACCTATAGGGTAGAAGGAAAGAATGGATCTCCTCCAAACCAAAAGATAAACAGTGAGACTGACAAGTAATAAGGATGAACAGTTCTGCCCAAAGAAATGGCTTTTCACTTCTATGAGAAGCTGATTTTGAGGGAGACAAGAAGGGGGCTTTCCCATTATCTTGGGCAACTTAGTTTGCTAGAAATGTCTTAGGAAATTCCCTCTGTTCCTTGGCAAAGTTTTGTCTTTTTTTTTGGTTAATTATGTTGTTCTTTCATAGGTCACAAAATCATATATATTTGGAGCTTCTAGGGACCTGAGAGGTCATTTTATAAATGAGGAAGCTAAACCCAGATATGTTCAATGACTTTACGAAATCATGTAACTAGTAAATAACAGTCAAGATTCTAATTCTGGTTGGTTCTCTTACTCCAGACCCCCATTCTTTCCATCATACCACATTTTATGAACCACCTGCTTGGGGTATGTGACAGTGCAGCAAAATTTTGTTTAAGCAGCTTGGGCAAAGACAGTACTTTTAAAAAGCATTAAACATCGTAAAACGGATCTCTCCGCACCTGTACTCCCAGGAAATAAGGCTAATGGGTGGGCAGGGCTCAAAACCTTTTTTGGTTTCAATAAACTTGTAAAATTTTGGATCTTAATCTTACTTGGAAACCCTAAGGACACTTTTCTTTCCCAAACTGGGCTTTTTCTCCCCTTCTCCCTTCTCTTGGCTAATCATTCCATCATTCGCCCTGGTCTTTCAGAATCTCTGCCATATTCCCAAGATTTCCAAATGGCCCTGTTTGGAAAGGAGACTATATTTTAAGTGAGTATTAAATATGTTTCTATATTGTCTTTTCTTCAAGGCCTCCTAATTCAGTGTATGTCAGAAGGAGTAGTAAGATCACTCCTGATTCTGTACGAAGGAGCAACCTTAGTGGTTTGCTGCTTTTCCCCCAGAGTGTGAAATCTGGAGCCAAGGCCATAGCCAAGCAAGTGTGCACCAATGTGGCCTCAGCCCTGGGATAAATGAAGCCCAGACTGAGACTTGGAGCTGAAATTTTATAAAAATATGCTCATATGCTCTCAATTGCTTAGTTGAATGTCATTCAAAATGTACTTGAGTGGGGGATGAAATATTAAGGATAAAAGGGCCTTGAAAAGGAGGTAGATTTTGTATAAGGTATTTGTTATTATTCTGTCATGTCCAACTCTTTGTGACCTCATTTGGGGTTTTCTTGGAAAAGATATTGGAATGGTTTGCTATTTCCTTTTTCAGCTTATTTTACAGATGAGGAAACTGAAACAAATAAGGTTAAGTGATTTGCTGGATTTGAACTCAGGTCTTCCTGGCTCTAGGCTTGGCACTCTATCCACTGTGCCACCGCCACCATACAAGATACTAGTTTGGGAATGTAGTGCTCTCTTGTGCTCAAGAATACCTTGGCATGGCCCAGCCTAGAGAGATGACAACAGGCAGCTAGGGACTGGCAGTCTCCTGAGACCACTAGCTATCAGATGTATTCTGACCCAGGTATAACCAAGGGAATAGAGAAACACCTGGATAGAATGTGAATGCTTAGTCTCTTTTGGTAGCATAGATCCCTTTGGCAGTCTGGTGAAGCCTTTGGTATCTCTTCTCACAATGTCATTAGGTGCCAAAAACAAAATACATAGAATTTACAAACAAAACCAATTACATTGAAATACAGCTATTTAAATATATATATATTTAAAGTTAATGGACTCCAACTTAAGAATTTGTGGCTTTGAAGCTCTTTCCTAAGAGCATACCTGATGCTGACCTTGTGACCTTTGTCATCATGGTCCAGCCCTCTGATGTACTTCACCGCTGCGGTCTGTCCAGTCTGCAGCACCAGCTGATGCACAAGGCTTAATCTTTTTTTTTTTTAATTTAATTTTATTTTCAGTTCCAAATTCTCTCCTTTTCTATTACCCTCCCCCATCCATTGAGAAGCAAGAAAAACAAAGCCCATTACAAATATATGCAAAATAAATTCCCACATTAGCTATATCTAAAAACACAAACAATGAAAAGAACATATGTTTTGATCTACCCTTTGAGTCCATCACTACTGTCTGAATGTCGATAGCATGTTTCATCACGAGTCCTCTGGGACTGTCGTTGATCATTGTGTTGATCAGAGTTCCTAAGTCTTTCTGAGTTGATTGTCTTCCAATATTGTTTTTATTATAGAAATTGTTCTCTTGGTTCTGCTCACTTCATTCTGCATCAATTCATACAAGTTTTTCTAAGTTTTTTCTGAAAGCATCCTTTTCATCATTTCTTACAGCACAATAATATTCTATCACATTCATATACCATAACTTGTGCAACCATTCTCCAATTGATGGACATCCCCTTAGTTTCCAGTTCTTTGCTAATGCAAAAAGAGCTGCTATAAATATATTTGTACATATGGGCTCTTTCTCTCTTTCTTTGATCTCTTTCAGGCATAGGCCTAGATGCGTTATTACTACCCAAAGGGTGTGTTGTTAAGTTTAATAACTTTTGGGACAGAATTCCAAATTGCTTTCCAGAATAACTGGACCACTTCAGCTCTACCAACAGTGCATTAATGTACTTGTTTTCCTGAAGCCCCCAGCATGTCATTTTTCCTTTTTGTTAATTTTGCTGATCAGATAGGTATGAGGTACCTAAGAGTTGTTTTCACTTCCGTTTTTCTAATTGTTAGTGATTTGAGCATTTTTTAACATGGCTATTGAAGTTCAGATTTTTTCCTCTAAAAAATTGTCCATCCATATCCTTTGACCATTTTATCAGCTGAAGAATGGCTTTTATTCTTATAAATTTGACTCTGTTTCCTATGTATCATAGAAATGAGACCATTATCAGATAAACTTACTGCAAATATTTTTTCCTCCCTTCTAACTGTAGCTGCATTGGTTTTGTTTATGCTTATAAATCTTTAATCTTATGTAAATAAAATTGTCCTTTTTTACTTCCTGTGAACTTTTCTATCTTTTCTTTGGTCATGAACTCTTCCCCCGTCTATAAATCTGACAGGTAATTTCTTCCAAACTCCTCTAATTTGCTTATTATGTCATGTTTATCTTAGTATACTGTGTGAGATATTGGTCTACACCTAGTTTTTGCCAGACTGTTTTCCAGTTTCCCCAGCCATTTTTGTGAAATAGTGAATTCCAGCTCCCCAAAGCTAGGATCTTTGGATTTATCAAACATTATGTTACTGTGATGATTTGCTTCTGTATATTGTATACCTAATCTATTCCACTGACAAATCTCTATATCTCTTATCCAATGCCAAATTTTGACAACTAACAGCTTTATAGTATTGTTTCAGATCAGGCACTACAAAGCACCCTTCTATCTCATTTTTTTTTCCCCTACTGATTCCTTTGATATTTTTTACCTTTTGTTTCTTCACATAAATTTTGTTATGATTTTTTCTAGTTTTATAAAGTCATCCTTTGGGTAGTTTGATTGATATGTGGCACTGAATAAATCAATTAATTTGGGCAGTATTGTCATTTTTATTATATTGATTCAGCCTATCCATGAGCAATTAATATTTCTCCAATTATTAGGTCTGCCTTTACTTGTGTAAAGAGTGTTTTAGGGGCAGCAAGGTGGACACATAATACTCACTAGCTGTGTGACTTTGGGCACCCCAACTGCCTCACCAAAAAAAAAAAAAAAAAGAGTGTTTTATAATTCTGTTCATAAAGTTCCTGTGTCTACCTTGGGAGGTATATTCCAAAGGATTTTATACTGACTGAAGTTGTTTTAAATGGAATTTCTCTACTTCTTATTGCTGGATTTTGTTGGTAACATACAGAAATGCAAACAATCCACTTGTGTTTATTTTATATATTGCAACTTTGCTTGAGTTGTTAATTGTTTCAATTAGTTTTTTTAGTTGACTTTCTAGAGTTCTCTAAGTAAACTATCTTATCATCTGCAAAAAGTGATAGTTTTGTTTCTTTATTGACTTTTCATTCCCTTTATTTCCTCCTCTTGTCTTATTGCTATAGCTAGCATTTCTAGTAGAATATTAAATAGTAATGGTAAAAATGGACATCTTCACTTCACTCCTGATCATATTGGAAAGTTTTCTAGCTTTATCTTCATTACAGATAATTCTGGCTCTTTGTTATTAATAGAAACTACTCATTATTTTAAGGAAAATTTCATTTATTCCTATGTGTTATTTATTTCTGTGTGGTTTTTAAAACAGGAATACATGTTGTATGTTATTGAAAGCTTTTTCTGAATCTCTTGAAATATTCATATAATTTTTGCTGCTTTTGTTATTAATATGATCACTGCTTATGGTTTTCCTAATATTGAACCAGTCCTGCATTCCTGGTGTAAATCTAGCCTGGTTGCAGTGTGTAATCTTTGTGATATATTGCTGTAATCTACTTAATAAATTATTTAAAAATTTTTTCATCAATATTTGTTAGGGAAATTGGCCTATAGTTTCCTTTCTTTGTTTTAACCTCTCCCTGGTTTAGATGTCAAGATCATATTTGTGTCATAGAATTTGGTAGGACTCCTCATTTATTTTTTCAAACAGTTCGTATAGTATTGGAATTAATGGTTGTTTAAATGTATGTTAGAATTTACTTGTAAATCCATCTAATCCTGAGCTTTTTTTTCCTTTAAAAGTTCATTTATGATTTGTACAATTTCTTTTTCCAAGATAAAGTTATTTAATTATTCTATTTCCTGTTCTATTAGTCTGGACAATTTATATTTTTATAAATAATCATCTATTTCATTCAGATTGGCAGTTTTATTGGCACACAATTGGGCTAAATAGCTCCTAATAATTGCTTTTATTTCTTCTTAATTAGTTGTGAATTCACCTTTTTCATTTTTGTTGCTGGTGACTTGGTTTTTTTCTTTAAAAAAATCTATTTTATTGTTTTTTTTTCAAAAATCAAATCCTTGCTTTATTTATTATTTATATATCATAATATGCTATATATTATTTTATGTATTATTATTTATTAGTTTAATAGACTTTTTCCTTTTAATTTTGTTCATCTCTCCTTTGATTTTCAAAATTTCTATTATGCTGCTTAATTGGAGGTTTTTAATTTGTTGGTCTAGTTTTTTTTTTTAATTGCATGCCTAGTTCATTGATCTATTTCTCTCTCTTATTGATGTAAATAGTTAGAGCTATAAATTTTTTTCCCAAGTACCGCTTTGGCTGCATCCCACATATTTTGGTATTTTTATCTCATTGTTGTCATTATTTTTAATGAAATTATTGATTGTTCTTTGAACCATTTATTCTTTAGGATTAATTAGTTTCAATTAATTTTTAGTCTATGTTTCAAAGGTCTTTATTGAATGTAAATTGTATTTTATTATGTAAAGAAAAGTGTTTAATATTTCTGCTTTTCCACATTTGTTTGAAATACTTATGCCCTAATATATGGTCAATTTTTGTGAAAATACTATTCACAGCTAAGAAAGAAATATCCTCCTTTCTGTTGCCATTTAATGGCCTATCATATCTAACTAAAATTCTATTCATCTCCTTAACTTCTTTCTTATTTATTTTGAGGTCAGATTTATCTAGGGCTGAGAGGGGTAAATTAAGGTCCCCCACTATTAATAGACAGTTGTCTATTACCCATTTAGTACTCCTATAACCCATTTAATTTTTCCTCTAAGAATTTGACCCTGCTATTTGATGCATGTATGTTCAATATTGATATTAATTCATTGTCTGTGGTACTTTTTAGCAAAATGCAGTTTTCCTGCTTATCTTTTTAATTAGGTCTATTTTTGCTTTCTCTGAGCTCACA